TTCAGCCTTGCCTTACTGATGATCTCTGACCCTTTAACACAATCAGCAAATGACGACACACCCTACCATTTCCAACATGACTGATTATGTGTGCATTTAAGAAAGCTCCAGAAGGCAGAATGGCCTAGAGCTTTTCAAATTTTTTGTATTCCTTTAAGCACCAAACGTATTTCTTCAAGTATGATCTTTTCTGAAGCCTAATATTAGGATAGAATAAAGAAGCTGGGTTGCTCTGGTTGGAGTTATTGGAGGAAGGGTCCTTGAGTTCCTTAGCCTCTTTTACCTCTCTACATCTCCCTCCGCGTTGTGGAAATTCAGATAGGGTGTGTAGTTCTCATGCTAACGCTCTACTTGTACTGTAATCCTGGGCAGGTCATTTCTCACCTCTCTCAAGAGGTTCACCTACATGTTCTAATTTCCTTTAATTCTATGAGCCCAGATTAAGAATATTATTAAAACATTCTTTGGTTTCTTTTCTGAAGATAACCTAAGGCATCATGATGTAAACTAAATGTTAACATGGATTTTTTTCTTTTGCCCATACGAGACAATGTGATGAAGAATTGCAAATACATGATTAAGTATTTCTTTCTATTAATATTTCCAGCTACAACTTCATTTGGGGTCATATTAACAATTATTCTTTGCATAAACTGGGTTGAAGGCTAGGGACAAGGGCTCTCCCTTCCAATGGACTCAGGAAGGGACTTTCAGTCAAGATACTAACTTTACTTAAACCAAATTATTGTTATTGAGATAGTCCTGGCTGCTCTTTAACATCTATGTTCATGTTTCATGCAGGACTAATTTCTGGCCTGGTTCCAATGTATATTGGTGAAATTGCTCCAACCACTCTCAGGGGTGCACTTGGCACTATTCACCAGCTGGCCATTGTCACGGGCATTGTTCTTAGTCAGGTAAAGCTCCCCATCCCCTCCTGTGCCCATTCTCTACTTCATTCATCCTCTCCCTCTCTTACTGTCCATTCTCACTGTAGACCAGCCCAGAGAAAAAAACAATTCCACCAGAGGTGGTGGAGATGGTGTAGAGACATAGGTTTTTTTAGCTCAAAGATAAATTATTACCACTTCTCGCTCTTCCTCTTGGTGTTGTTGGTGGCACTGGCACTGGAGGTGACGTGGCAAGCCAGGTCTCAAACTCCAGAGCTATTCAAGAATTAAATTATTCCATTTAGATTTCAAGGAATGGAAACCTTCAAATTTTTGACTGCCTGGGTTTTCTTTGTTTTGGGCATCTTACCTGGATATCATGTAAATAATTACTACAGGAGCTTTTCTTCAGCTGGCTCTCTCCTTCCCTTCTACACTGTGGTCTCAGAGGGAGTCCTGAGAACCCCATGCCTGTGCGGATCCAGGGAGTAGACTATAAATCACTGCCATGGGCATCACAAAGCTGTTTCTCATCAGAGTTATTGTTCTTTCTATGAAATCCCATTTTATTTAAGATCTGGGTAATCTAAGAAGGAATTTTTAAGCAAAAGTCAAAGTTATGCATGATTTTAATATCGTATTATTCCATATGGTTACCTGGAGACTACAGCCGTGTGTTGCTTTAGATATCAAATGCGGTGGGTTTTTTTTTAAGTTTGGTTGATTCCCATCCTAAATATCCAATTGGAGTTAATGAAAACAAACCTAGGTGAATTATTTGTAAATAAATATTTCCTAATTTAGTTAAAGTAGACACAGTAGTAATACTTTTCCTCTTGTGCTTACTTGAACCAGAGTTGTCAGGAATTACTATTAAATAGCTAATGTATTTTTCAACAATTGTAGAAGTGGACCCAAAGTGTTGTGTAGTTAATATGCTTCCTCCTTGCCTTTTCAGATTGCTGGCCTTGACTTTATCCTGGGCAGTGGAGATCTATGGCACTTCCTGCTTGGCCTGTCTGCTGTGCCAGCCATCCTCCAGTCTCTGCTACTCTTCTTCTGTCCAGAAAGCCCCAGATACCTTTACATCAAGTTGGATGAGGAAGTCAAAGCAAAAAAAAGTAAGTCCATGGGTAGTTTTTCTTTCTTCCTATTGTTTTGGAATTGTAAGCTAGTGTGAAATAGTGTGCATGAATGGTTGCTTGTGAAATTTGTACAGTGCCTTCCAAATGAAATAAGTGAGAAGAATGTGCAAAATCATTTTAATAAGACCAGTGCATGCCATTTTGCACCTATAAGCATTCACTCACATCCTAACCAGAAACTCACATCCAGGGTACTGAACTCAGTAACTAGAGGCTTCTAAAAGACCCTTCCAGCATTGTTTCGATGATAATGAAAACCATTTCTTTGTCATGAGATGAAGCCAAATGTTCTGCTTTTTAAAAAAAAAAATCAAAAAGCAGGATTTAATTTACAAAAAAAAAAAAAAAAAAAGAATTTCCAACACCCATGCTATTACGTAATAGAAAGAGACATGCAGAACTGTAGCTCTTTCATTAACATAATAAAAATAAATCTGTTTTTGTTTTGACCTGCTTTTTAAAAAAAAAAACAAAAAGCAGGATTTAATTTAAAAAAAAAAAAAAAAAAAAAAGAATTTCCAACACCCATGCTATTACGTAATAGAAAGAGACATGCAGAACTGTAGCTCTTTCATTAACATAATAAAAATAAATCTGTTTTTGTTTTGACCTGAGTTGTTTCAACCTGATCATTTTGGGGGACAGGCTTGCAAAGACTCAGAGGATATGATGATGTCACCAAAGACATTATTGAGATGAGAAAAGAAATGGAAGAAGCATCAAGTGAGCAGAAAGTCTCTATAATTCAGCTCTTCACCAATTCCAACTACCGACAGCCTATTCTAGTGTCCTTGATGCTGCACATGGCTCAGCAATTTTCTGGAATCAATGGGGTAAGTTAAAGAGCACCCCTAACTCTTAAGAGCCAAGTAAATTAGGATGGAGAAAGGAAGAGGTTTAAGTTTAAATAGCTAAAAGACATCTTAAAATGTTGACATCACACATCTTACTACCACAAACATATCTTGAGTGAGCATTAACTTTGTTTTGCTTCAGCAGCTTTCTAAAGTTAGCTTACGATTTTTAAAAATGTCAACAATTAATGTACTATGTGTCTATTAAGATTAAAGAGCAATAGTCATAATAAATACAAGGAGGGAAAAGAAGAATAATTATACCCCCCCCCTAAGAAAACCCTAAATTGCAAGGGGCTTCTAGAGTTGAGTATCGAATTTAGGATTTCTGATAGCCTAGGCAAAAAGGAGTCCATGATTCTGTTTATTTCAATAAAGTATACCAGATAGCCAGGTGCAAAAATCGTTTCCTGTCATGGAAGAAACTTTCACTCTATTTGAGAAGACAATACACAAAATAAACAATAGAGTGAACTGGCATCATATTGGTGAATGAGGATGGTAAATAAGACACAACTGAAAACACTTAAATATTAAACTAGCTAGCTTTTAGGTTTTGATTGAAATCATTGCATCATGCTGACTAAAATGGTTCTACTGGCAATTAGCTACTATAAGAAAAGATTAAGTATTTGTTAAGAGACTAGATAAAGAAAAACCACTTATTTCCCTTTCATTAAAGGGAAATGTGGATTGGACTTCCACTATAGTGAGCCAATTTCAGATCCACAAGGGACACTTTTAGCGGTGATTGATGAATGGGCAGAGACTTGGGAGAAGCAAAGAAAGTGAATTCCCATCAACTGGAGCAAAAGGAGACCTGAACCTCATTCCGCAAGATCTGCTGTTGTCTCCAGACTCCTTTAAGAGGTTCTTGATGTATCTTTACCTAATACTCTGTACAGCTTTGAGGCTCAGAGACCAAATTTGTATCCCCCATCTAAAAACTGCCTGTATAATCGATGGTTCAGTACCTAATCTCTCTGAACCTTCCTGTTTCAGCTTCCATCCTAGTGCCTGACTTGAAGAGGCATCCAGGAAATGTTGAACCTAAGGCTGATGAGCAGCCTGGAAATGGTGTGCGGTGTGCTACAAGCTACCACTCACCAAACGGTCTGCATGGTCCTCCTATAGCAGTTCTGTCTACAGGGAAGGGTGCCAGCAACAGGACGTGTTAGGTGGGGAAGGAATGACAGAGGGTGATAGAATGACAGAATGACCTAAAAGACTATTATAAACTTAAAACACAACTAAATTTTAAAAGGCCATTAGGGAGGTTGTGAAACAGATTTCTCCATCTTTAATGAAACTGGTGGGAAATTTTGGATTAAATTCAATATGAACCAGAACTCATATACACTGGTGAGAATGTAAAATTGTCATAACTTCTTTGGGAAACTATTTGGCGGTATCTATCCAACCTGAGTAAATGCATACCCTATGGCCCAGCAATTCTATTCCTAGGTATAAATTACTTATTTATACCAACCAGGTTGTACTAGAATGTTCATAGCAGTACTACTCATAATTACCCTGAATGGCAGATCCCTCAATATCCATCACTAGTAGAATGGGTAACTAAATTGTGGTACAGTTGGACCTCTGCACCATTCATGGGTTCCATGTCCATGGGTTTCCTAACCATGGATTAAAAATATTTAGAGGGAAAATAAATTTTAAAAAACAATGCAACAAGGGCCGGCCCAGTGGCGCACTGCTACAGTGCGCCGCTTGGGAAGCGCAGCGGCGCTCCCGCTGAGGGTTCGGATCCCACATACAGACCGGTTCCCGCTCACTGGCTGAGCGAGGTGCAGGCGCAACACACTGAGGGTCGCGGTCCCGTTGCCGGTCCTGGTCCTGTACGGGCGCAACACTGAGGGTTGCGATCCGTTGCCGGACACAAAAAAAGACAAAAAGGAAAAAAAAAAAAAAACAATGCAACAAGAAAAAAAAAACTTTTTGAAAATACAGTATAACATGTATTTATATAGCATTACATTATATTAGTTATTAAAAGTAATCTAGAGATGATTTAAAGTATATGGGAGGATGTGCCCAGGTTATATGCAAATACTACGTTATTTTATGTAAGGGACTTAAGCATCATGGATTTTGGTATCCTGGAGGGTCCTGATACCAATCCCCCACAGATATCAAGGGATGTCTATATATTAATACAAGAAAATGCTATATAGTTATGACAATGAACGGTCTACAAATATACACAACAATAAGGATGATTCTCACAAAGGTAATGTTGAACAAAAGAAGCAGACGCAAAATGATATGTGGCTCCATTTACATCAAGTTCAAGGGTTGGCAAATTTTATCTTTGTTGTCAGAAGTTGGAAGAGTGGTTTCCTTGAGACAATGGGTGAAGAGACATATAGTGGATTTCTGGAGGGCTGGAAATTATTTACTGTATTTCTTGATCTGGGTGCTGTTTACACAGGCGTGTTCAACTTCTGAAAATTAATTGAGCTATACCCTTAAAAATATATGTACTTTGTGTATGTATGTTATGCTTTGACAAAAAGTTTTAAAAATTTTTTTAAAAGAAAATGCAATAGCAAAGTTTTCAACTAAATATAAAAATGACTTTTAAGCAATCAGAAGCTTTAAACACTAAAGGGAGACTATAGGGTCTCCTTCTCTGGAAGGAGAGGGTGGAAAAAATCTTTAGGAAATTCTGGGGACCATAGCTCCATAGAAACAAGTAAAAGTAAACAACCTAAAATATTTTTTGCTTTAAAGACTTCAGTGCCAAGCTTCTTGATTAAGGCTAACCTGTTTTTACTTTACAGATCTTTTACTACTCAACCAGCATTTTTCAGACAGCTGGAATCAACCAACCTGTTTATGCAACCATTGGAGTTGGTGTTGTCAACACGGTTTTTACTGCTGTCTCTGTAAGTCAATATCCTAGATAAATACTCTGCTTTTCCCTCAGCTCAAAATAGTGGGGTGCAGGGAGGGAACTTGTGACCTAAAAGCCATCAATAACTTATCATCCATGTGCACTGGGTGTGTAGAACCAAATGGGTCATGGAAAGAATCCTATATGTGAATAAGCCAACTGCATTAAGATTAGGTGTAACTGAGAAGGTGGGTCACCGGTTCTCCCCATTGCTAACATGCCATTTACTCACTCGTTTATGAATTAATAACTCACTTGGGGGCACAGAGAACTGTCTCCTCATGTAAATCCCTGGGTTCCTTTTCCTTTGCTCTGTACTTAAACCCCTTGGGATTAGCTGACAGCTTGTCATTTCTATTAATATTGGATTTTCCACCCAGGTTCCTCTCTTTCCATGGTTGAAATTCGTTTTTTGTCCTGATCCCTTGGGGGAAGCATATAAAAAAATAGAAAAGTTCCTCTCTAATAAATATCTAAGCCTCTAAGCAAAGTTAAACAGACTCAGCACATTTCTGTGATGCTAGGCCAGGTGGTTCACAAAGGGGTGGCTTCTGGTGACACGCAGGAGTATGTGAGATATTGTGAGAGGATGGGGTAGAAGTGGTCCAGAACTAGAAATGTTATCATTTGTTTCCGACAAGAGGTCATATACTCTTCTTAAAACCAAATTCCTTACATAAGGAATGATTCAATACCTTAACAACAATAATATTTAACATAATCTAAGAAATAAAGTAAACAACAACAAAGACAAAAAACTTCCTAACTGATATAATTCACTGTAAAATGGGGCTAAGTGAGCTTATTTTTATCTGCACATGGACGTTTAACCATTACCTTAGAGTGATCAATAACTTTCAGCCTGGCTTCCTAGATCAAAAGCCAGGTTTGTCCAGACCACATTAAACAGTGCTGGACCTTGGAAAGAGGAGGAAGAACAGATGACAGTAGAACACCCGTGGTTCTGGAGACATGCCATTAGAGATAACGCCTGTTCAAGCCAACAGGCCACTCTAAATCAATGAAGGCCTGTTACCGGGATGCAGTCCAAGGGACCACTCTCCCTTTTGTATCCTGGAATAATATTTTTTACAAATCCTTCTTCAACATATTTTTGTAATATAGAGATTATTGTTTTGTGTATAATAGGATTTGCTATGTAAAGCATCAAGTTGTCAAGATCAGGTAACCCAAATTTTGAGAAAATCTTTTGAGAAAAGAGGAAACTTCTTTTTGAAAGAGGAAAATCTTTTGAGAAAAGAGGAAACTTCTGCAGAATTTCATTTTTGCACCCTATCCCCAACTCATTGGAGTGGAGGAATTGTTTTATTTAAGACAATATCTTAATTATTTTGAATATACCATTTTAGAGTTCATCCTTTAATTCTCTGAAAGTTTTTGAGCAAGTGAGTGACATAATTTTAAAAATCAGTTCTAATCATTAATTAACCCAGGACTACAGATAACATTTAAAACTTAATTATGTCTACTTTTGAAATGCTGTTTTAAAATTCAAAAAGTACAAAAAGAAAAATCCCTCAGTCACTCGTTTCTCTCCCCCAAATTACCCAATGTTACAAAATTCTGTATATCCTTTTAAATACAGATATGCAAATAGGGATGTGCCCTGAATATATTAGTGTTTCACCAGCTTGGAAGGAACATCAATCTGTTTTTTTTTCTGAATGAGTGTTTGGGAAAAGAGAAAGACTTTTCAAACTTTAGGCTGAATTATGTTACACGTTCCATATTTCCTTCTACACTAATGGGCTGGTAGAAGAGAGGCTGTAATCTTGAGAGAGAAAACAAAACAGGAAGAAATACGGAGGGAACTGGGAGGCAGGATGGCTCTGGGACAGAAGCCATAGCTATGAGACTCCAACTAGGCACCCAGGATCTTAGCAACGCACACTATCTAGGGCACGGATGAGAGTTATTGCTGGGCAGACATCTCCAGCCACTAAGTATGTCTAACTCCTAGTCCCATTCATCCTGAGTGCACATCCATCAGCAAAGATAGAGTCTGACTCAATTTACATGACATGCAATTTTAGAGTTTATTATCCAATTAATAACAATTTTTAAGAAACAGATAGTTATTCCTGAAGAAACGTTTCCGTTTTCTTGGTAGCTTTACCTGGAAAGCCACCAAGCCAGCTTTGAACATCATAATGATAGAGTCAAAATGTGCCGAGAAAATTTATGAGCTTGAGAAAACTTTGTCTTTTCTCCCCTCCTTCTCAATAATTAAATGTGGACTCTATCTGAAGTATTTGAAATTCTGATTGAATGTACCTCTGAGATGAAAGGGCTCATTCACTGTAGGTGAGAAGAAATGTTTCTCAGATAACTTCAAAGGTAGAGCTCACTATACTTAGGGTACTGAATTTCTACTGATTAACAGATTGATGAGCCCAGCCAATTTACTCACCAAGGTGAGAAATTATGACAGGCAGTTTTATCAGTTTTATCTGCGGGGGAGAGGGGATGGGAAGGTTGTATTGGCAGTATTCCAAGGATCAGGCGAGAGTCTACTCAACAAATTCGTGTCTTGGCTAATTGTAAATATCAACCATTAATGCAAAGGTCCACAGAACCAAAGGAATCAATGAAAACCCCCTCAATTTGGATAAGAAAGCATTTTAACCATTTTCAAATGAATAGTTCAATCCCAGTACCAGGTACATTTAAGCACAGCAGAAGAATGCAGACCAGACTATTTTGGTGTAATGATCTAATTCCATATACCGTCAGGTGAGTAATAATAAGTTGACTTTATTAAGCAGTGAGAAAGTCCCATGAGAATACTTGACACCTGAACAGTTATACTGTTGCCAGTGTCCGTAGCACACAAACCATTGTAATTATAAATTAGGATAATTATCAGAAGAGAAATTAATGTAATTTTTAAAATGTAGAACCCTCACATTTTAAAAGTACAGGAAATTTATTGGGAGAGCCCCAGGATGACAGCCTCTGAATATTGTTCCCAAAGTCATAATCCTGGAGGGGTGGTAATGCTATGGTTCTCTCTCTGGAATGACCTATTCAAATCAGTGTGACTAAATTCAGCAGGTATTTGTTCATCATCCTTGTTCACTGAGACCAGCTCTGCCACCTGGGGCAAGAGTCACTCCTCCCCTCAGTCTCACATCTGTGAAATGGAATAGTAGAATTTCCTCCTTCCTGCCGTATAAATTAAACTGACCTCCTTGGCAGTAAAAATTATTTAAGTATAAAGTCAATATTTTGTGACTTATTGAACTGAGGTGATTTTTTTTTTAGGATATCTTTGTGCTTTATTTCATTATTCACTTTTTTTTCCTTCTACAGTAAAATATAAACACATTCTGGAACGCACTTAGACTTATCATAAGCACATAATTCTTTTTTTATTGAAACATAATTGATTGTACATATCTGTGCAGTACCACTTTGAATATCAATACCTGTATGCAATATGCGATGCTCAAATCAAGATAATTAGTATATTCAGCATTATATAATGTAATTATTTTTTGTGGCCCTTTACCAATTTCTTGCTAACCTCTCCTCCCCAACCCCCTTTCTCACCTCTGGTAACTTCAGTTCTGTTCTCTCCTTTTGAAAGGTCAACATATTATTATGATTGTTGTATCTTTCTTTCTTTCTTTTAAAATTTTATTTGTTTATTTATTTATTTTTTAGCTCCTACTTATGAGTGAGGACATGTGGTATTTCTCTTTCTGTGCCTGGCTTATTTCACTTAATATAATTTTCTGTAAGTTCATCCATGTTGCTGAAAATGGCAAAATTTCATTCTCTTTTGTGGCAGAGTAGTATTCCATTGTGTAAATATACCACATTTTCCTTATCCAGTCATCCATCAATGGACATTTAGGTTGGTTTCAACTCTTGTTTATTGTGAATAGAGCTGCAATAAACTCAGTAGTGCAGGTATCCCTTCAACATGATGATTTCCATTCCTTTGGGTATATATCCAGCGGTGGGATTGCTGGATCATATGGTAGATCTATCTGTAGTTGTAGTTGTCTGAGGAACCTCCATATTGTTTCCCATAATGGCTGCACTAATTTACAGTCCCACCAGCAGTGTAGAAGAGTTCCCGTTTCTCCACATCCTCGTCAGCATTTGTTATTCTCAGTCTTTTTGATAATAGCCAGTCTAACTGGGGTGAGATGATATC